GAAGGCACATCCAAATCAGTCCACAGAGTTCAAAAGCAGGGATTTAGAAAAAACTAACTGGGCTATTTCCACAGAGTTCAAAAGCAGGGATTTAGAAAAAACTAAACTGGGCTATTTGACCAAGAATTGTATCTGATCATACTACTGTTGCAAACAATTTCGAAGCACGTATTTCACCAACCCTGGCGCCACTGTTGTGACCTTATTGGGAGAGGAGGAGTGAATTACAGGCGCGTTACTGGTTCATAGTGCATCTAAGTTACAACTGATTACGAAGGCTAAAACATTCGGACTGGCAAATAGACATCGGTCAGTAAAATCTTAAATTAGATTACCGGCACAACACATCAGTAACACAGCTAATCGATAAGCACTCACGCATCTAACTGTCTGGGTTAACAAGCAGACGAGTGTTTTCTTAACCAAGAGTCGTTCGGGTCAACTAGGCAGGAACGCATTTTTCACCAACCGAAGTAGCGTGCTGAATCCGTACACATCCAGTTAGATGGACGAACTTTCCCCCGAAGAAACACATGCATTACAAAAGAAAGAATGCACTTTGCACGAACCGAAGCAGAGCTTCAAGGTTACCTTCCACTCATGGCCGACGTTGATTTGAGGACGAAACACTCGCGTTTGAACACACGTAGTACGAGCGTATGACATATGGGTTTTCCGCCTGATGAAACGACGTCCTCACATAGATCATATAGCTAGCTCCTGACACCCGCCACACACGTTACCGGGGCCGGACGATGAAATCTCAACTCCACACTCAATTCACTCATCCGGCGAAATGCCATGAGTGACTGTCATTTGATTCGGATCAGAGGTGGTTAGTCCGCTGTTCGTCTGCTAACAGTTGGAGCCACAAAAGGATTGCGTGGAACCGAATTCGGTGCTGAATGCAGTCTCTTGGCGCCGATTTGGACCTGAGAGAATGCGATCGACGGGAAAAAACGCAGAAGCTAGTCTAAACATGATGACATAACGGTGGGCACTGACACGAGTAACGGCATTAACCGGTAACTACTAGGAGTCTCAGCGTAATGGCAAACTCCCCCCAGTATTGCACCAAGAAGTACTCAATGGCCCCCGATTAGTTTACCATTAAGATGATTGATAACCGTTGACCATGTGGTTACTAATGCTGACATCTTTAGGATGACAAAATGGGACAGGTGCTGAGAAAAAGTGTAACAAAGTTGCTTTGGTTCCAGTTGCTGACGTTTAGCAGTTGGATTCGGTGAGCACACTAGTTGCCCACTAGGTCAATCCTCTTACGTGTATGCCCAAATGTTGCGCAAGTCAACGTGATCGAGGTTGCATTAGAGATATTGAGCCTCTTTCGAATGGCTCGCTTGTTCTGGGGCAATGAGACACATTTTAGCTCAACAATCAAACACTATATTGAAAGTTAAAAGGTGCTTTTACACGTGTTTTTTCACGATACTGAGCAGCCGTTCGTCCTCCGTGAGGTATTGACTGCATCTATGCCTGGTGCGATAAGTTACAACGAGCTTCCCTGGGTAGTTGTATTTCTCACATCAACACGCACGGATCAACTCACTCCAGCTCTCCATTAGCAGCCTTCCAGCTCACTTCACAGGCCTATCGCGGTTATGGTTGAACAGCATGGCCTAGAAACATGTAAACCACAACGGAATAGCTGTGCTCTCAGTTACGCATTCATACAGAGTTTAGAAACGGCTCCAAACTACCGCGAATCCAGCGCAAACAACCTTGCTTACGAAAACTGGTGGTAGCTTTGGGTGATTCGACGGACTGTGGTTGCATAACCCCACAGAATAGCCAATTGCAAGGCGACAAAACTCAGGGGAGGGGGCAAAACGTGTCGACCGATAAACTGGCGTTCAGTAATGATTTCTGAAGTCAGGTAAGCTAGGCCATTCCAGTTGCCTGGATCAGGATAAGGTGGTGTGATTCTTCTACCATTCAGAATGATGAAAGTTGTCAGTATTCATTCCACACCGAAATGCATCAAACCCAATCATCCGTAAGTCCGCAAGGCTCGTTAGTTTGTGACGAGGTGATAAAACGAACCTGGTTGCTTCATCGGCCTTACACCAGTTTTCAAGCTAGCGATACACCTTGGTAAGAAATCCTTGAGAAATACACTTATTTGAGTAGTTTCCCGTACAAAAAATATTTGAGAATATTCTACAGTAGGAATTCTCCACAGCGGCAACAATTGAGCAAGAAACACTTTTCATTACGCTCATATCCAAGGAAGGATAAGCTGTAACAGACGAAGTAGCTTTCTTGCTTAGCGGATAAACAGGGGAGCTCAATCGGCATGCATTTTTGTCGTTTGCCGGTGTTTCGAGATGTAACCTTCTTGTCCCATGGAACAGGTGAACCCCGCGGACAAAGATCACCCGTTACTCCAGGGAGCGGTGACAAATGAGGTCCGCTGGCTGATGGCTGTTCACCTGATCGAAGTTACTCTGTTCTAGTAGGTCATCACTTGAATAAATAGCAGACATCGTTACACGAACTACAAATAATGACTCGAATGGACCCGTCTCTTGTTTTTAAGGAGAAACCGGAACATTGATTCAGGACTCGGAACGCTGGCTGCGCAAAACTCAACGGTAGTGGAACATGGAATGCGGAATCTCGAATAGAACAGAAAAGGATTGCTGACGACTGATGGAAGTATGTTTGGAAATCGAGTTTAGATAATCGTCTAGAAGACAGTAGACGTCATCCAGCAACAAATAGTTGAATTTTCTTTGGAGCCAGAAACGCTTGCCAAGTTATGTTTCAGCAGAGTTGGTGGCAGGGTAAAAGTTTCGGCCAATGGAAACCGACCACTTCGAAAAAAATTCAGCCACCTAGACAGAAAAAGAAAAGATAGCTTCCACTCCAGTTCAAACGACAGGGTAGTGGACTTGGAACAAATACCGGAAGTTCGCTTGGAGCTGGGTATGTACTGCCAAGTGTTGGACGCACAGACCTGCTATTTGTGCACATGAAACCCGTTTTCTGGGCAGCATCTATAGTTAAAACGGAATAGACATCTCGTGGATCACTATAGCAACGGAATCAGTAGAAACTGTTCTTTATATGAGTAGGTTTTACTTCTCGTTTGAATAAGCATCTTCTGATGGTATATCTTGAAAATAAAATGTCTCACTTTAAAAAATATGGCCCAAAACACTAGGAACCACTTTCCTTTCTTGTGAGCCGGAAGACTTCGCTTTTTCTCAGAATGTGCGGTTTCGTAAGACTCCCGGGATAAAAACGTTGTTGGTGATCTCAAGGCTGTTCATTAGGGAGGAACCCGTGAACGCACCAACATGGCGTGTGGTAGAAATCGCTGAACCAAAGTCTATGCACCCTCCGGTGACATTCAGATTGTTCAAAAACGTAAGTGTTTCAGAAACTTTCAGTATCCTCTTCGGCGTGTCCAGTGTGGCGCAGACGTCTCGAATGGTAGTTCATACATGGATCGGCACCTTGGGTCAGAAATCGAGCGACTCGGTCTTGACTTAGCGTGAGATTCGCTGCTGAAGTAGGACATGGACCACCAGGCGTACGCTCTGGACCTCTGACTACCGTTCGTGGCCAGCGTCAGTACGGATTGTCTGTGCAGTAAACCCCTCAGATCACAAGAAACAGTCGCCGCCAAGTGAGGTCATTCCTAGTTGCTCAACAATAAACTCAATCCCGGAAGAGGATACTGTCAGTCGATCCCGCTGACTGGTTGCCTGGGAGGTGAACAACTATTGACTGTTGCGTTGTGACACTTAATTATGGACTTCGCATGGAACGACTGTTTAGTTCTAGTTAGACAGATTCTAGTAATGGGAAATACAACAAAGCAGTGGTCGCTGTTATATCACAGAATTCCTTTGATCTATAAGCCCAGATAATTAGTAACCTCCAATTAATTTGCCGTCAGGTGGAAAATATTCAGAATGTTTGTACTTTTAAGTTTTTGTTCGAAAACTGACACACCTACTTGCTCTGTAACGCTTTGATAATGTAACCTTTGTTTTTCACCTACCTAGATCCTCAAATAGCGTTGTTCTGCTTGGATTCGAAAATATGCAAAGATATTATCTTCCCGACATCAGTCAATTCTTGATCCACAGGAACGGGGTGAACTCCCCAGTTCATACCAGTATCACATTTGCTCTTACCTCTGCGCGCAGACCATAGCAAAAACATAACACGATTCATTCATACACTCCACGGCTTGGAACTGGACAGTATTCAGACAAGTTGAACAAGTTGTATTCATAAAACTTGCTAGTCGATATTAATTACAGAATCTTAAAGAGACAGACAGAGACTTTGGGCAATCGCTGCGATTTTTGCCAATTGAAAAGGAATACCGGCAAGCGGGTACACGGAACACAAACAACACGAAAATCCCCAGCTGTCGATTTTGCGTATTAACGATGTTTGTGACTGCGCAAAAACACTGGGTGGTGAAAATTAGTAACCAGTAGAAAAGAAACGGTTCGGGGGAGGGAAGAAGCAGATCCGGATTCAGGGGGAAAGAACCGAGCATATGAAAGAAACCGTGAGCAGCACATTTACAAAAGAAGAGCACTGTACAACAGATTCGGAAAGCAAAAGAACTTGAGATAAAAAAATGTACATCAAAGCAATATTGATGGGGTAGGCTGGTAGGGGAAAACACAGGTCAGTGAGTACGTGCGATACAAATTAGTGCGAAAAGAATGATGAGGTTTGACAGGTGCCGTGGAGAGGATCGGAAACATGAGAAGGATGGAAAACAGCTTCGGAAATGGTTGGAGTAACTGACTGTGAAGTGAAGGCACTCGATTAGATTTTTTGTACACACTTGGCTGGGTCGTTGATTTTACCGGAATTGGGAAGATATGTATTCATACGTCAATGTGCTGTGGCTGGTTGAATACGACTAGAAGTGAGACGACTGGGGGCAATGACGGCGTCTGGACCGGATTCGGAAAGCAAAAGAACTTGAGATAAAAAAATGTACATCAAAGCAATATTGATGGGGTAGGCTGGTAGGGGAAAACACAGGTCAGTGAGTACGTGCGATACAAATTAGTGCGAAAAGAATGATGAGGTTTGACAGGTGCCGTGGAGAGGATCGGAAACATGAGAAGGATGGAAAACAGCTTCGGAAATGGTTGGAGTAACTGACTGTGAAGTGAAGGCACTCGATTAGATTTTTTGTACACACTTGGCTGGGTCGTTGATTTTACCGGAATTGGGAAGATATGTATTCATACGTCAATGTGCTGTGGCTGGTTGAATACGACTAGAAGTGAGACGACTGGGGACAATGACGGCGATCTGGACAGGGGAGTCCTGCATAAGTACCAAGAACCGGCCTTAGACGATAAGTAAACATTATTGCGACTGGCAAAGTGGGCGTGGCTGTGTAGCCAAACAGGAGGATTGGAGTGTGTATTGTAGGCTAGAGAGAACAAGACCCTGACTCAAAGATAAATGAAAAGGGCCAAGGGCGGAACGGTACATAGGGTGCTGATGACGGACGAGTAGTTAAGAAATCAATTTGAGGTGGACAGAATGCTGCGGATTGCTGCATCAATATCTGGGTCTTCGGAATGCTGAACATTAGATGCAATATCAATAGGACCATTCTCTAGCAAGCGCCTTGACGGTTTGGACGAGTCCTCGGGCAACTGGTGCGAGAGAAAGAAAAGTGAGAACATTAAGAGAAATTTAGAAGTTTCAGTTGAAATTAAATAAGAATTTGAATCGGTTAGACTGCGCGAACCAGGCTAGCTGACCAGGGATACCACGACCTTTCTGGTGACAGCATAAAAAGAACTGACGGAGTATAACTGAAATCGCCCCATTCGATATGAAACTATTTTTCATTGAAAGCAGTTCCCGCTGGATAAATGGTGTTCGGCTAGTCAAACTCAACGACCTAGATAGGTTAATCCGGCAAGCTGCATCATCAGTAGAGTGAGGAAAGTATTTTCTACACAACCAGCTCACAGGTGTCCAACTGTCCTTCACGTCCTAATCTCTTTTTAAGACCATCAAGGAACCGACAATCTCCTCGGCATTAAGTCGCCATCCCGTCGATTTACCATTCGTTGGAACTTGCCACCATTTTATGTTTTGATTCGATGGCAAGTGCAGACATGGGACTTTGCTCATATCCCATTCTATTAATTTGCAAGCTCCCAGCATGCGTGGTACCGAACTCCATAATATTACCCCAAACAAGTAGATTACTTCATCACTTACATTGTTGTTGTTGTTGTGTTTAAGCATTTAGACATGAAATCTAATTAGTGTGCTCTCCTTCTATGGTTTTGTTTCGTACTAGATTTGTCTCATGACGTGTACGGGCTAGAGTGTAGCGTACCACTACCCATCGTGGATAATATTCTTGCAATGACAATGCATACCAAATAGACATGTCATGGAGCTGAACTCGGCCTGGACCCGAAGACCGTAGACACTCGAGGCCATATCTACTAGCCGACGGTTATCGGAGGCTCACCTAGATGAACGTTTGCTTCACCTACGAATCCAATCCGCTAAAACCGTCAACAATGAAGGAGGTGGAAGCCGGTCACGAACCCATCATCTACTTCTACTAAGAGTAAAAAGTGTCTAATTCTCGGGTTCCAAAGAATGTTATCTAACAGAGCGAATGTAATCATATTACCTGTACGCATGTCGCTGTCAGCGATGGACTGATTAGGAAAACTTGTTAAAACAGCAACTAATGACGAGGGATGAGTCAGGAGAAAACCGAAATGTGGTGAGGCAGGATGTAGTTGTCACAACTTTTCATGAGACGAATCGGTCTGCTGATACAAGTGCTTGTCATGTACTTGTTAAAACCAACCTAAGGTTCAGAAATTTGGGCCCGCCTGGGATTCACGACCACGGGTTGGGGACCTCAGAGTTGGTTAATCACAACCTCATGCTCTCTTGGATTAAGGACAGAGCATGTGGCGATTTCCCACTTGCAAACCCTGCTGATGAAATCTCACCAGAAAGGAGATAAATTGTGTCGTGGTACTTTCTTTCGATTATGAACGTAACTGGCTTTCCGTCTCGGTGACTATAAAATAATAAAAATAAATCGTCCAGCTGTAACACCCTTTCTGTGCCTAGCTGCCATGCCACACGAAAGAGGGACGAGGGCTGGGATACTGCCAGGTCGCCCAAGCCTAGACAGGGGAAGTCGAGTGGCAGAGGCTGGGTTTGAACCACGGACCTTCTGGCCAGTAAATTCGCGCTCTAACCACTTGGTCCATCTCGTCTCTAGGCGCATTTTTGACCCACCCCTTCATTGTGAATATCTTACTCGTTTCTGTTAGATGTTGCTCGATACCTTCACCGTCCCAGAAGTATATGATGTGTTTCATTAATTCCAGTCAAGTTTGCGAAACATTCGCGTGGAATTTCGAATTTCCCTTGTAAACTTGGTTCGAGATACACACTGAAATACACACAATTTTCTGATACAGGTGGGGTCTAGCGTGACGGAACTGCTTTGCAGGTTGATCTAAGTATTTGTTGTCATAACCGGTGGTCCTAGGTGGGTGGAGCTTGGGGTGACAAATCACCTGAAGTGAGTGTTGGTACCCTCCCTCCCCCTAACGACCGCTTGAGGAGAGAACTCCAGATTAGGAATACAGATCAACCCGCATTTTGAGGAAAAACACCCACACAGCACTCTTCCTGTTTCGTTGTATGACAGCGAACGGCGATAAAGCGCTATCGAAAAATTGTTATCCTATCAAGTCAACTAGTTCACCAAAGAACGGGAAAGGCCTACCTCTCCGCCACTGAACACAAGGCCAGTGTACCAAGTGGAACTTTAAACGGCATCACGAAGTTAGGTTTACGGTGAAATATAGTGCATATTCATTCAAAGTGTAATGTTCAGTGCGTAGCTCTCGATTCCCGTACACTAAAAGATCGGTGAACCGACATGGAAATTGGGATCCATATATGTGCACATAACCACCTACCCTCCTAATCGGTTGCGAGTAACACTGAAAAAGTGAAGCCTACTAGGGATTAAATCGAAATCACTAAGTTTTGGTCATCTTAACGTGGCGTTCGCGCACTGCTAGAGGTCGGGAGGCTAGGGCTGGGAGATGAAAACTTACGGAACGCTGAAGAATATGCAAAAACCTACCAAAGAGTCGGAATTGCTCTCCAGACAAGCATGTAGTGTTTCCGATTCCATTTCTTCTATGTCCATTCCTTCATCTCGCATAAGTTCCTGCCACAAGTCATAGGTTTCATCAAAAGCCACCGATTCGTCCTGATCCAGACTGGGACCCGCCAGAGAACTCCCGACCCTGCCATCCAAAAGTCCGTTTGTAGTGACCAAATGCTCTGTAGACTTGGTTCTGGACTGTCGGGTGTCCAAGCCAAGTAATGCATCAGCTTCAGCTTCAGCTTCATCAGAAGAGTCTTCATTCCTGTCTATGTTATCCCCCAAGGAATTTGGCAGGCATCGTTCACTGGGGTATATCACAGTTGCGTTATTGGTGGGAAGATGGTCGGAGATGCCGTTGAGACGCTCAAGATTCAAACCTGAGCAGAAGCCCGATGCAGACTTCAAAGATTCATTGGGAAGTTCAGGGAAGTTGATTGTAGCAAAGCGCGTAGAACCATCCGGGCTGAACTCCAGAGGACGTAAGTAGGCGAGTGGGCCAAGAAGTGTTGACCAGGGTGGTGGAAGAGCCGAAGAGCTATGTTTTAGGTACACGGGATCTGGAAGTTTTTTACGGTGCACAGGCAACGGATGCTCAGGGACGGAAGAATCCACAGTATCGGGTAGAGGAGAAGACGAACTGACGCGAGAGTCAGAGGTGTTGTGTTTGCATTCTGACGGAACACCATTAACGTCGATCAGTTCCTTAGTGGCGATGGAAAAGATGTTTTTCTCAGCCTCAAACACATCTCGTTCCAAATCGAGTGCCATTTGTGCCAGCAGCAAACGGTCCTCTGTACCGTCATCGAGTAGACGCTAAAATGAATGAAGATACTTCCCTACAGAGATTCCGTGTAGACAACATCCATCAACATGATAGAAGTGGGTGAAAGATGCAACACTATAACTTTTCAAAGCAAACATCATAATAACCTGAGACACGAAATTTGAGAGAGCTTCCTAGAGTCACCCAACGACCTCGGGTACGAAAAATCGCACATGAGCCTCTTGCGAAAGAACGACCAGAAGGTTACAACTGAGACTCATCACCTTGGATAGCTTCATAACCACTTCTCTAGAAAAGTGAAGCAATGACATGGTGTTCTCATTGTCTGCGATTCCAAAGTAATCATAAACAAGTGCTCCTCAAGTAGCCGCTGAAACACCTAAACTTCTAGCGCGCAAATGCAATTTGTCCGTGTTGCCACAGGGGCTCTGATAATACTGTTTTTTATGATACTACCACCCTGAAAATGGGTAATCGAATCGAGCAATATCCGCATTTCATTCACGCCGACCAAATGGTTTGTATCAGGAAGGTCAGCTTCCTGAAAGCAACCACTGAATGCCCGGAACCTACGGAGACTCAGCTCCGCTGGGTGTTGACCAGACAGACAACGCCCCCTCAATATGCAACGCGTCACAGCCTTGCATCAAGCCCAGACAGCGCGAGTCAGCGTTGATCAAGGACAGACAACGCTTCCGCAATATGCAGCACGTCGCTGCCTCGTACTAAAGCCAGACCGCGTGCGTCAGCATTGAACCAAGTTCAGACAGTGTCCTTCCAATAAAAAGCCTGAGGCCGTTGTACTTTTCGCACTCGCACGCACTCACGCTCTCGCACCCACTTTGTTGGAATATAGCTACTGTGTCCCCTTTCGTGAGCCTTTTTCTCTTCGACACTAGGCACTGGAGCGGGTCAGCAGCAAATACCACAGGCCGACGAATCAGCAGATATAACAGATTGGTTGTTATGGTGCTATCCAGCTTACTTACCCCCAAATTGTATCGTATGCAATTTCAAACTACGTAGTCGTTTTCGTCCATCTCTTGAACAGAAGACAACAATGACAAAACCACATGAACGTACTGGTTTGTTGTCATGGTAACTAACAGGATTTCGGTGCAAACCAGACAAAATAGCTCGACCAAAACACGGTTAGGTGCAAGTTTAAGGCACGCTCATTGTACGAAGCAATGAGGGAATAGGAGTTTAGACAAATGGCTTCACTAAAAACGATGGTTGAATGATCGACCTGGGATGATACGCTGCTGCATCGCAAAAGCTGTGCTGATGGTTAAAATGTTTCCACTTCAAGTTACCCGGTTGTGTGCTGAAACCAGTAAAAAGTGTAAACCATCCCTGAAAAGCTGTTAGGATTCAATTGAATCTTCCAAATGGGTGTTTGGCGAATCGCACATAATTAGGATTCAAGCAAGGCATGAGGTTCAGGGTAGCTCGGTAACTGCGTCTACACGATGAGACCCAAAAAGGTCGAGGCCGAAAGTGAGCTGTCGAAAAGTTTTCAGCGGTCTAGGGATAGTCTATCGTCAATGTTTGAGAGTCCTCTCCGAAGTGTAGGTATGGCATAGCCAGTACATTTTACCTGTGTTCGACAAACAGAATTGTTTCGCCGACCACAGTAGTGTGAAGTGCCCCAGGGATAAGCTGCCTACTGATCCTTAAGCCTTTCTTATGCCCGAGCGACGTTCGGGTTTCCTCGGAGTAAGACATTACATGAGATCTCCGGTAAAACAGTACGCTGAGAGAAATTCTATGGATTCCGAATGTACACTTATTTTTTGAGGAGCAAGGAAGACTGAGGAACGGTTTGTCGGCCTAACTATGCCTCAAAAGTTGGAGAAATACTAAATATAATAGTAGTGATGATAATACTTAGTTATTCAGCTGTAACACTCTCTCTGTGCCTAGCTGCCACGACACGTGAAGGAAGCACATGGAATGGTATAGAGCCATGCTGCCAAAGCCCACGCGGGAACAGTTGAGATGCAGAGGTTGGGCTCAAACCACGGCTTCTCTGGTTAGTAGGTTTGCGCTTTGATCGCTGAGCGAGCTTGAAGCAATTATGGAATAGTGATAACGTTAAAATTACAATATCGGCTATTCATCTTCGCTCAAGGTGGATCCGATGAAATACTGTTTTTCCGATACATGACACGAAATCGCCCCACTGGAATAACAGCAATAAGAGATTCGAGTCCGAAAGACGCTTCACAAGATTACGCGCCTTTTGAAATCTGTGAGCTTGCATCGTAAACACGCATTATCAGGTCACACACTGCTACTTCGAAAGCCTGGCCAACATTAGAGGAGTATCTTAGTTTTATCTTCACTAAAAGAATTAAACTATGCCCGTTCTACTTTGTTAACCCTAGGATGAATTGATTTTTTATTTCTGAAATATGGATAAATAAGCTTACTCGAACCCATGCGTATAACAAACTTTGTCAAAAAGTCAGAAAACGTTCTGAAAAACCGAATTCATCCGCCGCACACCAGTCTGAATCCAGTTACCATCGGACACATGAAGTGGAAAACTGGTTAGCATCAGTTCTCAAACTAGACATTCTTTTCACATTTTTCCCAAAATACTTTGCTCTTTTTAGTCCAGGAAACAGTTTGCAATTAAGAATTGATTTCGGGACGCTTTCCATTGTCCCAGGTATAAACTAGCCCAGAAAAAATCCCCCGATTCACCTGTTTTGGCCTGACAAGACGCAAGTACGTTAAAAATCCCTATCTCATGCATAACCTTGAGGTAGACAAAACACCCAGCAAGGACATAAGATTGAAAGCTGGCTAGAGCTTATTGCTCTTTCGGTAACCGGAAATGGCCGACTGAGTGAAGTTTATCCAGTAAACCAAAACAAGGCAAATCAGGTTAAGAGGTCGATTTCCGGCATACAGGCATGTAAACTGGGTTCGGTTAGGAAAATAAATTCACAAGTTTGACCAAGCATTGCTCGATGTATCCGAGGAAGAGAAACCGCAAGACAGCTGTATGATCTGAGAATAGCAACTGCAACTGTCAAGTACAAGTGATAAGATACAAAAGATACACAAGAATATCCAGTGTCCACCGAGATTTTTGATAGGCTAACTGTTTGCTAACTGGCTGGAATCGAGTCTCAATAAGACAACCAATGTGCACGCAGTCGCCCAATATCTCAAGGTGCCTCCTTTCTTGTGCACAGGAGTTACCTTTGTTGTCCTTCAGCAGCCACGGCGAGACAAAGCTGTCATGGGCTCAGGGAGAATATCCCCACAATTTTAGCATCGTAGTGACATAAGATGTGGAACACAAACGTTGTTTCAATTCAGTGGGAGCACCATTTCCTGCACCATATTTTCTGTTAGTGCCAATGTTTGTCAGTAAATCTGTCAAGCCTGGGATTTACGGTGATGCTTGTCTGGATCAATGCCCTTCGAATAAGACATGAACCCACAGAACTACTGGGAGCTCTACGCATGTGATGAGGATATTTGTTGCATATCCTGTTCATTTTATTGATTTCAGCCTTCATCTGGCCCTTTAGCCACTTAATTTCTGGGATTCGTCCAACTCGAATACCGACTCCATCCTCCGCTGGAGTTGCACCTGTCGAATTCGATGCAGTTTGTCTCAACAGGGTAAAACAGGTTGAAACAGAAGCTAGTCAATCGCCTTCAGTGTAGTGAACAATTATGATCATAGACAGAAAAAAATCGTTTGGCTGTAGCACCCTTTCGGTGCCTAGCTGCCATGCCACACGAAGGAGGCACGAGGGCTGGGATACTGCCACGTTGCCCAAGCCTAGGCAGGGAAGTCGAGTGGCAGAGGTCGGGTTCGAACCACGGACCTTCCGGTCGCGCTCTAACCACTTGGTCCATCTCGCCCCCAATCATGGACAACTGAGAAATCGGTGGAAGTAAGTGCCGCTTATGATGAGCTGATTTTATCAGGGTGAGTAACAACTTTGCATTGGCACTTCCGAAACTGATGGAATTGTAGCACGATGTAACACGATTTCGGTGAAAGGGTTAGAATGTAGTGATCCGGGGAGCCAACTGGGGCGCGACTGTGTGCAACAAACGTGTGACAAACACTTGGTCAAGTCGGGTGTGAAGAGTTGAGGGGAACTGCACAATACCCTTCAGTCGTATCGAGCTCAGAAGTAGTCTGGTCCATTCAGATTAATCAGTAGGGTACAAAGAGTATTGTTCAAGTAGGAAGTTACTTAGCTGGACAAGGAACCAGGAAACAGGCACCGGTTCGGTGGGTGCTTTGTGTATGACTGCGAATGGGATCAGGCGGTAGTTGTGCGGGAAGCGGAGTTTGCATTATGCGATTTGGCAGCTGATGCACCCCGAGAAGAATTGAAAACGATCGTTTAAGAAGCAACACAATTTCCTGTTAACGTGGGCCGCGTTAATTCAGTGAGCTTCACACAGAACTGAGCTGCGCCGTGGGCTACTCATCCGGGTTCTCAGTGTGGAGAAGTAGAGTCGAAAACCTAGATTTTACATCGTTCGAACGCCAGTACCAGATTCAAACTTGCTCCGTTTTAATGAGCTCTATTCACTAACAAGTAATGAAGCTATAACCGGAGGACAGAAGACATAAGAGAAAAGAACGGTTTTGGTATCACACAGTAGTGAAGAAAGCTCTGAGTTGTCATATGCAGGACGGCAGTACAAATGCACCCATTTAGCTTGCGGATTACACGAATGGGTTTGAAAGCAGTGATAAAGGTGAAATGGACCGACTCCATCGAAGTCATTGCGTTAGCAACCAATGCCGCACAATACATGGAGACGTTCACAATTGGTTAGTTTTGGCGAGTCAAGTCTACGTAAAATAACCATAGCGGGGTAGATAGCGTTCAGAAATGATCGTGTAATGCAGCACACAATCTTGGACAAACCGATAAGTGATTCATCCTTGTTTATCATGAGGATGACCGGTAGAGGACTGTACACAATTTTTACTAACCTAAATTCAAACTGAACATGGCCTGATTTCGATTGGTAGATATATATCTAAGTGAGCCGAGTTCTACTCAACCAATAAAAGGCAAGAGACATGATAGTACGCTCGTAGTTGCACTAAGTCAAAATCATTTGCTCAATCTACGAAGTGACAGTATGATGATTTTACTGACGGCGGCTCCACGGTACCAAGCGCCCTTCAAGGTTGTGCGTCCCAGAAAATCCGTACAGAACAACCGAAAGATTGCAAATGCATGTGTTGGCACTCACTCTCACATGTGACAGTTCCAATCAACGAATACATCAAGTAATAATGGATGAATGATGATTCATACTCCAAGAGGACGGTGGTTTATTCTAGGAAATGCCAATCAAGGGAAGTAAAGATCGTGGAATCATTTAGCTATCATGAAGACGAACGTACGCAATGTTGCATAACCCAGTTGTTTCCATGTGATATTGTCGGTCCTGTGAGATATCTGTTCAAAAATATATCGGGTGGGAAACAAAACTTTCTATCCTGTTAAATTCTTGCTTTGTCATGAGAAAAACTTCTAATTGAGCAACAACTTGAAGGTAGCAGCACTTTGGGTGTTCTCAGATGGCATTTCTTGTAGAAGTTCATAGATGCGAACATTCGTAATATATTTTGGTATCTGCTGGCATATCAGTTGCGGCTACATTTTCAGAAACGCGCAAAACAACTCCTCAGTTGCAGTTTGATAAACACAGTGGTGTCTTTTAACCGGAACAGAAAAGGTGCAATAGGTAATTTAATTTGGATTTAAATGATTAAATTAGAATCAACTGAGATCTCAAATACGATTGTCTGTTGGTTAGTTCTCAGATGGTACATAACTTCCTTCACACATGCCAGCAGGAACCTTAGCGAGACATCTTCCGTTGGTCCATCCCCTCTGGACTTCTGAAGTGCACGCTTCAGAGTGTCAGCGAAGCATTCCGCCTAGCCGTTCGACTGTGGATGAAACGGCAACGAACGGACATGAGTTACGCCAAACTCCCGACAAAACACTGCGAACGCCCACGACGTGAACTGATTATGAGTGTCGGATACAATAATACCTGATGCTCCAAAGCGACTGAACAATCGTCGGAGCTCCAGGACTGTAGCGGCAGTTGTGAAGCTTTTCAGTGGAAGAATTTCCGTCCACTTGCCGTAGGCATCGACCATGACCAAACAGTGTTAACCATTCACAGGACCTACATTATCGACGTGAAGATGAGACCAAGGTTAGGTTCACTGTGGCAATTACCATGGGTAGGTTTTCACGGGTGACTTGGATGCTTCACCATCGCAGGTAGTTGCGCTCGGCTGGTGTCAGGGATCTGGGCCCATGCACAGTGAATTTCTGGATGCTGTGCGGAACCATGAGAAATCACTGCGCCAATTCCCTAGTTCGAAGCATACGACGCCATAACCATTACCAGTGACGAATCGTAGGGGGTAAGATGCAAATCGGAACTCAGCATGGATTTGACAGAGTCAGAGGCATGTTGGCATTCTTCGGACCACATCCACTTGTGGTCGGGGGTGATACCAGGTAGGCAGAAACGAACTGTAGTAAATGGCGAGACCTAGGAAGGACTTGAGGGGTTTTAGGTCTGTGTGTGCTGGTATACTTTTGATGACGTCGGTGTTCTCCGGGTCTGATCGGCAGCCGTGTTCATCGATACTGAAACCGCATGAAGACGGTGCATTTTTCTCGGCGCACTCTGAAGCCATACACTTGATACGACCTAGCACGTAATCAAGGCGCTGTCACAATTCGTGGGGGTTGGAACCCATGACGACGTCCACGAACCCACGATGAGATGTCCAAATAGGCAACAACGCCGGGGGTATCCATCAGTATCGCATCCATGATCTGTTGAAATATGACTAGCGCTGTTTTGACACAGCACTGGAGTATACTGACTGAGGTGTGTATTGGTCAAAGGTTCTCGGGATTCTTGGTCGAGCTCAACCTAGAAGTAGATCTCAGCCTGAGTGGTTAGAGTGCGAATTTACTGACCGGAAGGTCCGTGGTTCGAATCCGACCTCCGCCACTCGACTTCCCCTGTCTAGGCTTGGGGAACCTGGCAGTATCCCAGCTCTCGTGCTTCCTTCGGGTCACATGGCAGCTAGGCACCGGAAGGGTGCTATAGCTGAACGCTTATTAGATCTCGGCCAAATCAATCTTCGCGAACAGGTGGTCTGGAGAAGGCAGAGGGCACTGATGGGTATCATGTGTAGCATTGAGGCAGGGGGAGGAGTCCGCGCACAAGCGGATGATCCTGTTAGTCTTCTTCGCCAATTCGATCGGTGCGACCCATGCAGAGTAGTTAATAGGTCGGGGAACACCAGCTTTCGGTAATCGGTCCAGCCCCTGGTAACCGATCGCAGGCCTGCAAATATTACACCGTTCTAGTCTGTTGGCGAATATAGATGCACAGCATTGTTAATGAATACTGAACTGTGAAGTTTGATCGCCAAATTTCGCCGTCATCAAAGCCGAGGTCACGGGCAACTTGGGGAAAATGAAGTTTATATACCGTCCGTGCTCCAGTGTGTCGAGTTTTCATATCAATAACCTGACTTTTCATGTGTCATCGAACATGGAAAAGTAAGGTTTGAACACGTCTCCGTACCGTTTGAACCAGGAGTAAAAAAAGTGACCTGAAAGAGGGTCGAATCAGAAACTCCGTGATTGAGGTTGCAGCAGCATCAGCTGAAGAAACAAAGGATTCACTGTTAGCGGCTGCTGGTTTCTGGATATTCAGTGTCTGAGTCGGTGATTCAATGAACTTTAGATGCGCTTCTTCAAACCGCCTTTGATGCTGTTGTAGAAATTATCGGAGCTGCTTAAGTTCGATAGACATTATGATTTCTCGTTTGCCAGTAACGCGAAGGGTAACCCTACAATTGAGTTCATTGACACTAAAGTGTGCACATGGGAGGGGCCGTCGGAGGAGGGTTACAAAGGTTCCTGCTGGCTTATCGGGCGATGCCAAACCTGAAACCCGCCTGATGGAGTGTCACCAGCAGATGCACCGCTCCGAAGGAAGCTTCGAAAACCGCATGACACTATCCAGCCGCAGAAAAGGCAACTTAGTCGCCGCAACACGAGAAAAGAGAACCGCCATCATGGAGCAGCCGCCCGTTCAGCTATAATACCCTTTCAGTGCCTAACTGCCATGCCACCAGAAAGAAGCACAAGGGCTGGGATACTGCCACCTTGCCCAAGCCTTCACATGGAAGGTTGAGAGGCAGAGGTCGGGCTCGAACAACGGACCTTCCGGTCAGTAAATCTGCGCTTTAACCACTGAGCCATCTCGCCCCCAATGCTCAATCAAGTGGGCATCACATTCATTCAAAAATCTGTATTTTGATCACTGCCATGAGTTGAGGAAAAACCGAACTGCCATTTCCCCCCTAGCTGTATTTCACTAAGACAAGGGTATGTGGCTGCTGTCGTAGATAGTCGACGGAATTGTGCTTTTGTCAGAGTTGTGGCTTAATTAGTTAGTCCAATAACAGACTTCCTTCTCATTTCTTTCAGTTTGAATAGCAGGCAAGCACCAGGAGTGTCTGATTAAAAAGTGGAGAGAAAATCTGGAGTCAAAAGCCAAGAAAAAACCTATGGACAAGTAATGTTTCAGCCCGGTCAACAAATGGAAGCAGTTCGGGGAGTGAGGATGGATAGTAAGACGTTAGTAAGTAAGTTACAACGGGGAGAAACAAACAAATTCTGCTGGAACGGCCAACACTGGATGACGTAACTATCCAGAACTTTGACAAGTGGTTACAGGGCTGGTGGTTTCCCGCAAATAAAAAGCATCAGTGGGTATCAGTAGTTTATGAATACATACTAAACCGTCGGAAAGAAAGCCCGCACAAAAAGACACTTACCGTATTGTCCAAGTACAGCTGAGAATTAATCGCCTCGATCATATGCCGTTTTCGTCCCATGAGTACGACGGAGGACTCCTCCAGAATTTTATCGACTGAAAGTGCATGCAAAACAGGGCACTTTGCGTAAGCAAACAGAGTTTTATAATTTTCGCAAAGGAAACTACTCACAAGGTTACTGAAAACTCTTGGATAGCCCATGACCGGTTTCACCCTTCATCATCAACTAGGCGCAGCCACCGAGTTTCCGTCAACCTTTTGTTCTACTTGCACCCAAATTAGACTGATTTCGACAGATACACTCACTGGCACAACAATTTGGTTTTCACAGGAGACTCAAGTGAAGAACATTGTAAACCAGAGATTCACTTGAGTCTCCCGTAAAAACCAAATTGATTTGCAAATGAGTGTATGTGTAGAATCTTATAATATCCTATTTAGACCAACAGACTCGATAGAAGCTCAACTGGCATGAAAATGAATCTGCTAAACTATTCAGATTAGGAGCGTGGGAAAAGCCACAACATCCTTAGAACAGAACGCTAGTAGTTCAGGTGGTATGCTAAAGTGGTGGTTTTACGAAGAGCAGAGGTAAAAACATTTCCAGAGGATGATAGGAACATAACTAAGCAGCTAACAAAATGGATATCCACACGGTCGATTTATAAGCTACAAACCATGTAATCTATGTAGTGCGGCAGACTCACTCAGTGACTCACCTTGTCATTACCCGTCCAATATACGCACTTTTAGATACCCAGTCCGGTTTGAGTTAATATTAGGGAACTTAATGGGCGACCAGTGATTGAAGCGAAAATTGGTACTTGGGGATTGTGGTCATACCGCCTATCAGACTCAGGTCAACAGCAAATATGGGGAGATATTTTATTGGAAATGCCCCATCTTTTTTCTCGACATTGATTCCCTCAAAATTCTGTGATGCACAACCTATGAAAAGTCGTTTATCGTTTACGGACAACCAACAAGGCAACTTTTAGAGTGGATGTAGTTCGCGTAACTTGTGTGGTTCATCACCATCATCGTCATCACTGATAGCTACAGGAGCGGAGAACACTGATAAAACACTAGAGGACATGTGTGTACTCCGTGTTTAAATCAATAAGAACAGGGAGGCGACCGATTCGTGTCACGAGAGAACGGAACCTCAAGTGGATGTCATTAACATGCAACAATATATTTTCAAGACAGAAAATCGTGTGCAAGCTGGAACCAGACTCTTTTTACCAAAGGGGAGTCGACCAGAGCCATCAGGCGAGCCTTTTTATACAATGGAAGAAAAGAAATTGAAGTTCCGGCAGCTTGTCATTTAGACATGCTATACTATACACTAATCTCGGGAGACAACAATATACGACACAGGAGAAGTTGGATGAAGAGAACAAGTGAATTCACCTTTAAGCAAAGCCTCTTTCGTATTGTCAGCATCTTGATGGATATGATAGTGGGCGAGTAATTCAAGGAGTTGAATCGATGTTAATTGTTGAGCTCGACCAGCCATTTGCGCGTCGAGATCTGACAGCTTGGCGGTGGAGTATTTCAAATCATTCACCAAATTTGCACGCATGCGGCTCAGGCGTTGAACCTGACAACGAATAAACAGAGATTTATTGAAATGGAGCCCACGCATTACACAAGTTACTATGGACTCTAACTAAAGCACTCCGCCAAAAACAGCACACTCCACTGACAAACAAACTGTAAAGTGAGTATATATGGTTAATTCAAAGTATCTATGAGAAATCAGTCGATTCGGTTGACTCCAAGTAGGTTGTAAGATTCGGCTTCCGGTCAGTCTTACAACCAAGGATTTCCGTACCGAATCGACTCGATGAGTGCAGATGAACAGTTTTATACTCATCGTATTTGTCAGTCCCATGTCCCTGTAAGGTGATGTCGAGTAGTAACGGTACATCCAATGACTTGTGAATTCTGTGGGAGCGTCGTTGTTATTAGGAAACCGGAGCGGGAAGAACGAAGCAAATCCTATTCAACACCAAAACTGAGTGGCTCTTCGCATTTCATAAGCCCGTGTGATTCTAGCGGCAGTCATTGAAGCTCCAAGATTCACACCATAGATGTCGAATTCTTGAATGTTCATTATCGCCCTCGGCTGCACATTCTTCTTACGAACGACGAGTACAACGCCACTGTGAATTAAGAAGAAACACCCTACGTCCATGAGAACGATGGCGATGATGGTAATCTGAACCAGCTGTACAGCAGGGTGATATGTTATCCAGAAGTAGCTCTATCGAATTCGACAATATAAACCTTCAGATTAACAAAAGAGTTAACTTGGAAAACAGCTGCTCCAAATAAAGTCCTGAAGTCAATAAAATAGCACGAAGTTATTGGGGGCTCGGAAGCGCGTACAAAAGACAGGAAGACAAAGGCACTACCGCTATGACAATGTGTCTGTTGTTGTATGGCCGCTGTTGAGAAAACACAGGTAAATAGTAAAATAGTGAAATGTTCGTTACTCTTCGTATATCGAACATGTCGTGCATTGACAAATGAAGAGTCTCAATAAGAATCCATTGACGGTTCATGACGAAGCTTGAAGCAACCTACCCACCCAACCCCAAAGGACGTTGTCCTTCAATCCCGGTAGCGCGCTCCGTTCGCAGGATATCAATGTGTTGTTTCAAATACGACTGAATTGAAAACAAAGATAGCTAACGAATTAACCGCTAGCACTGGGTACATGGAGTCGACAGAAAAAATGGCATGACATACCTGCTTCGAACACACAGCGTTGTTCAGTCGGTTTGCTTGTGCAACCCCCGGGGAACTGGATTGGACTTGCGCCGAATGGGTGAGTGGGGGTGCACTTTCTGAAAGGGGTAGTTCTGGCTGCGGGGTCGCCGATACTACGACATTACAGCTGGTAGTGGGCAAACCCGTCGAGCTGGCGGGTATCATCACAGGTTGTTGTTGCATCACAAAAGTTTGGGTACCAGGGGGGACAGAGGTGGAGGAGATGAAGAGCCCACCAGGACCGGAACTTCCACCTGGTAGTGTGGGAAGACCATGGGCCATGGAGACACTTGGTATGGTACCCAAGGGCGGTGCAAAAACTAGAGGAAGTTCGGAGAAATTATGAAAATGATTCGCAAATAGAGGGAGGATCGTTCGTTAATCTGGATACTATATAAATTTTGCCCGCTCACACTTATGAAAGGTGTGGTTGAGTACGATGTCAGTGAAGTCTTCAAAGTGCACACGTTTGTTGGGCAGTTCGATTTTCCGTCGATTTTAGTCTTTGACTCACTAGGTGGACTTTTTTTACCACATGAGCTACCTACTAAAATGGTCAGTGTAATGGCATCAGTAGACATAAAATTTGCCTGAGTTGTCAATGTGTGAATCTTTCATTTGCAGCTTTTAGTAAAGATGTGTTGCTGGTGCAGAGATCCCAGAAGTTTGATGGAGATCTCGTCCTGTAAGTAAAGTCAATCTATGCTGAGAAGCTTAGAGGCACTGTAAACCTGTTTCATCCTTATTGGAAATTGACCGTCCGTAGCCGAAAGTGTTCTAACGACTAGCCAGGAGGTCGCGGATTCGTGAGATGCGCACGGTCGGTAATTCCCAATAGAGATGTGGGGCGCATGGGCTATGGAGTAAGAGCTAAGGATCTCCAAATAAGCCTTTAAGGAATCCATGTGTTAATCACGATATACTACTACAATCACAAAAATAAAGCAATTAGATATCGTGGCTTACTTGGTGTTGCTGATCCCTGAGCACCAATAGGAGGAACTGCTAACGCAGTAACCACGCCCATGACAGGGGTCGACGATGTCATTGTCACCGCACTGCCACGAACCATGGGATTAGAAAGACCTGGAGTAGGTAGCATAGGCCGCGCTGCAACTAGCCGCAAACCAGCTGCATTACCAAAAGCCGCCGGATGCATTGGAATAGAGGGAATAGGAGCAAATGAAGGAATAGTGGAGTGCAGGCGGATCGGCTGCTGGGGTAGTGAATTTGATGTAATATGGGGTGACGTGGTTGTGCAGACGACCGTTGCTGAGGAGGACATTGTCACAGGTGTCATGCGGCCGCGAATACTAATAACACGTGCCTGTTCTTGTTGCAGAACCGTTAATATCTCGGCCTGACGTTGGGACGTGACGCTGAATAGCAAGCGCTCCATATCGACTTTTTGTGCCCGTGAAAGGCGGAGCTGATACCGTTGCTGATTCAGTCGAAACTCTACGACGAACGTGTCCGTCATAGGGGCATTGACCTTTGGCAGCAAGGAGTTTCGCGCGAGTGTATCCAGAATTTCGCGGCGCTGCGATGCGAAACCAGAGTAATAAATAGGCGTGTAAATTTTAACGGAAATAACGAAAAAAATTAATATTTTATTTATAGGTTTTTGTATCGAGTCTACATATTTTTGTAACTGGTGATCCACGAGTAAATGTCCGTAACCGGTGCTTCACCGATAGCTATCTCCTAAACACTCAAAAGATGTCATGTGCCCTGCAGTAGTTTTTTTATCTACTGAAGATTGCGCAATGGATGTTTCTGTAAGTTCATTCAAATTCTTGGTCAAAGGGACCCAGCGAACATCATCGAAAGACCCACTATTAGAGCACTGGTTAGAAAACGGTATGAGTCGAGTTAATTTAGAAACATCCTCACTCTTGAACTCAGCAGCTGAAAGACGAGTCCTGCCGTTCAGTACACGATTGGACAGAAAACGCAGATGACCGATGGTCAGATATATGATTTGGACATTGGTTATAGAAATCTCAGATAGTAGTGACAAGCCAGTGACGACCCTTTCATGCATGAGCATTTACTCTGGGTGGACAGCTTATAGTGGTCCGCAAAGAGTTATCCAGCATTCTGACAAGATACGAAAAAAACGAAGGCTCGAGTTGATCATAAGAGTCTACCGTGGATAGATTCCCATATGGACATGACCACACGCTAGGTACGACCGCATAGCAAATGTGCTACGACTCACAAGTCAGCTGCTACGGTCAGACTTGAATCTTTACTTTTTTTCAATATGAGACCTGTTCCGTCGAGTCACCAAAGGAGTTCGCAAGGCCGAACTAAGGTGAGAAATAGGAACACAACTTCCGGCTAGCCTTTTGGCACACCTGTAGAAACAAGTCACACGGCGAATATTGACACAACGCCTTGCGAAGCAAGCATACCATCACGGAAAGCAACACACCAATTTTTACATTCCATTCATCGAGGATAAAACGCATATATATATATATATATATATATATATATAT